CCACCACAAGGAAATCGTTGGCGTCTCGAAATGGTGGAATGTTGTACAGTCCCGGAAAATAATAATGGTCCATACAATAAAAGCAAGTCTTGGTTTTGGTCAAAGGCACTGTATAATAAAAATATTAATTCAATAGCTCTAAAAAAAGTTGCAAATAAGGTAGCATTTGTTATTGTAAATAGTTTTACTTAGTACTGGAAGATTAAATTTCTTAGTAGAAAAGATGTCTGACACATGTCTATTTAAGTACTGCCATTACTGAAAAATCTGCAAGTGACATCGTTTCGGCTGTTGATAAAGAATCCAGTAAGAGTCGGTTTTGAGAAAGTCTGTAGCATTGAGTCTTATTTTCTTTTTGGTCTGTTGTTGTTGGATTTATTATAAAAATAATATTCTATATATCGATATAGTAGGAAATAATACGTACAAATAATATCCATTGAAGTCAATATTACTGGTTTTTCCTAAATGCAGTTTCTCTAAGTGCATGCATTGGCACCGGTCCCAAGAATCTTTTTTGGCTTTGTTTTCGGCTTGTTGCTAAATTGCATAATAATAACCTGACTACACAATACGGAAACTATAAGGTCGACGACAAATAAAAATTACTTGCCAGAATTTGTAACATTGTGGAACCATTCATAATATTCGCGAAACAAAACAAGAGATTCTCCATGCCAATTGGAAGCGGACAATATTACAGATGAGACAACCTTTGATCTCTTTCGAAGCAAGGTTCGTCGATGGCACAAAACTGGTGATAGACCCATTATATCACTCGCATGCGCCTGTGCCCTTATCCCAATATGCCATACAGTAACATGCGAAATTAATATATTCTGTATATTTTCTATTTTTGCACACTGTTATGGTGTCCGATAAACGCGATATGATTCGTGTAACCTTGGTTTTACGCGCTTGTGCTCAATGGTACCTGTTTCTCTAAATTTTTGAGATTACGCTTAACAGTACGAAGGGGAATGTGTTGTTATTTTATGTATTTCTTTGGCTGAATTGATACTGTTGAGCCGGTAATGTTTAATTGTTTGTCTTTGGGCTTCGAGCTTCGCGTTAACCATCTTTACAAAATAAAACAAAAAATTGCGCTTATAAAAATTACAGAGATAGACAAAAGTTTCCGAACATTTTTTTACCCAATACAAAACTTTAAAGGTCAATTAATATTTTATTTAGATTCAGTAAAGGTACTAAGTGGCTAATACTTAGTTGACCTGCGTTTGCTGCTGCAATCACAGCTTGAATTCGTATATTTCGGATTTTTTTTTAACGTTTGATAGTATCATGAACGGTTGTTACTCCGCGGTTAACGATCTCTGAAATGATTCTATAGCTATAACCACGATTATGGCACCGCGTTGTTCAGTAGTTAGTATTTACCCTCTCCCCTCTTTTTTTGTATTTTGGAGAGGAAAACTGATGCAATTATCTAAATAAACAGTTGAATATCATGTGAACTTTTGTCCACCCTCTGTATATCAATCGTTATTTCATTCAAATATTAATATAAGCACACAGTGAGACCCGATCAGACAATGGTTGGTCGTCGGAAAAGGATTCTTTGGCCGACAAACTAATTGCCTTTAATTTCGACTGTTTCTGTTTTTTGAGTCAATTTATCTTCTACAGGCAGAAAACGCAAGTTGAGTTGGGTGTTATAGACTCATAATATCTTCGCGGTGGTCGTTGTGGTATATTTGCATTAGGGCGGCTATAATGTAGCTTTGTGTTATCGTTTTTACATTATTTTGCCGTTGATTATTTAGACCAGACTGCATAGAAAAGCGTAGTATAGTCGCGCCTCCATATAGAAACCAGAAATCATACACATTAGTATTATCAAAACATACGTTAAAAAAATGTGTCAATGTAGTTTGACGCGTACCTGTTTCCTGACATCAGCAAGCTTTCCAAGAAGAAATGCACGTACAGTTTCCAAGTAGTAATTGTCGTGCTAGCACTAATAACGATTTTCCTCGCTATTACTATGATCTACGCCTTCTATTTCTGCAATTTCTTGATTAATATCCTTGAAGTGATACGTACGTATACTATATAAGGCGCTAGCGCGGCAACATTTATTGTGGCGGTTTTATTATTTTATGTATTTGGGAAAAGCGATTAAAAATTTTGGCTAATATACTATTTAGCAATGTTATTTCATAATAATGACGATACAGGTTTGTGAGCATGGATTCACAAGTGAAAGTTATTGATTGGCTAAATTTTTTAAATTTCACGTGCATGCACTTATGGGGATGTGTTGTGTAATGTTGGATTAAATGGGCTGAATGGAGAAAGGTGTAATCTATCGGAACATATAAGTAGTACGTTTGACTAGTGGATCGTTATCACAAGAGACGAGGGACGTGACGACGATGATAAAATTGTCAGTTTCATGGTATAAATACCCGTATCGTACGGGGCTAGAGGTCTAAAACCAGTGCATGTGTCGAATTTAAGAAGCTTATTTGGTTACTACAGTATTACTGCCGCGTAACGCGTAACACTGATAAGAGTATTTTATAATACAGTGCTGTCCAAAAGCCCTTAACAGGAATGAGTAAATGTTCCTTGCGTTAAATTTGTCATCTTCCAGCAAATTTTCAAAACATATCAAACCATATCAAAACGGCATATCGCTTATTCGAATATGAACTTCAATAATAGATCTGCATGATTTTTTTTTTATGCTCGCTATATGTGTCCCTGGTCGAATCAGAAGGAAATCCTTGTTATGCTTATCAATAAAACGTGCATAATATCATCATCATGCTTGTATTTAGTTCAACCGCATTCTAATAATGCTGAAAAAAGATTACGAAATTTGGGAGATATGAATTTTGAATTTTATGGCCGAGAAATCGCGTACATATAAAATTTTACAGGTAATCTATCACCAAATATACAGGGAAATTTTCATTTACATTCCTGTCCTGAATTAGGAGGTACGGTTACTTTTGAACGGTACTTAGTATTAGTCCTAGCAAGTGAGATCGACTAAGGACAGCTTATAATTTCCAGTCTCTGAATTATTCTACAAGAATAGTTTACTATATGTCGTAGATACACATGTCTTCAGTAGGGTTTCTCGCTTCCTTGTGGTTAAAATTACTAGTTTCATCAGACTAAGCTGTGCTGATATCAAGGTTTTGCTGTCTTCTGATTGTCATCTCTTAATAGTTTAGACGTCCATGAAAGTGCTGAACTTTGAATGTTCTAAGTAGAGTCTTTATTCTATTACGACACTGATTTTGTCAGCAAACTCGATGTAATCCGAATCTAAGTGCTCATTTATGACGCGTACTTGATAGATTTTCGTCACTACGAAGTGTTTAAGAACTTCAATGTAGCCTTAACAACAATTATCCAAAATTAAGGCGATTAAATGGATGTTGAGGCAACTAGTTTACGACGTATCAAGAATATAATTAAGCAGACCATTTGGATTATTATGTCCAAAGTCTCCAATTATCGTCTACCGTTGTTACCATACAACACTAGTTGCATTTATCATCAGTACAAATACGATTGCGATAGAAAAACCAAACAAATGTGAACGTACGCATCAGATGATTTGCTTTATAATATTCGCAGTGTTGGGGTAAAGGAGGTTTTTGACTTTTTGGTTCTCCCACTAATTATCCCAAGTCATCACCGCACGCATTTATTCTTTGCAAAAAAAGGCACGGACACAAACCCTCTCAAGAAAATCATTGAAAGTGTCACCGAACATTTACTTTTTAATATCTACGTAAAAGAAAATATCATAGTGCTTAAAGAAAAGGATAGTACGATTGTATAAAACAACCTCAGAGTGAAGTCGAAACAAATATATTCCTAGGCCTATATATAACTGAAAGGGAATGGGCATAATTTTTTGTTTAAAAATGTTATCCCTTCTGCCCTTCTTTCATTCATTCCTTCCTTTAGTCCCTAAAGTATTGCCCCAGAGAATCAAAGAGGAAAGCTCGAAAGGGGAGGCGAAAGGTATGTTTATATAAAGGATATCTTTATTGTAAAAGCGAAACCGCTTGCATAATTCCAAGAAATATACTGTCTTGGAAACAAATAAAGAAAAGTCTTGTAAAGTTCTGTTTCATTCCCTTCATCACAGGAGGCTAAAAGCTGAATAAAAAAAGTCTTCGATCTGATTACATCAGATACATAACTTCTGAAAGTGTAAATAAAAAATATCTGCCAAGCCTCGAGTGAATAAGGAAATAGATTAACTGTATTAGAGCTATATAAAAGGTTCGCGCATGCGAATTATTGCAAAGAAATAAATGCAAAAATGACTGAGAGTTTACCGTAGAGTAAAAACCATAAGGAGGCACGCCTAAACCCCAACACCCCAAATATCCTCAGCAAATTTTATGTAAATGGATTAGGGATGATGGGGAAAGGAATTGCCCTGCAATTCATCATATAATACAAGTGCCATTATAGGCGGATAAGAAATTAAAGAAAGAATTATTGGGGTTACCAATTTATTTACTTTTGTATGAAGGGCGAAAACGGTTCGTTTCGTTTGAAGGGGAAGGGAATAATTACAAATATGTATTCAAGGCAAAACGAACCGGTCGTTTCCCTTCTTTTTAGGTAATTTGGTGATGAACCAATAAACAGAAGAAGAGCTTTGAAAACTCAAACGTCAAGAACAAGACGTTTCTTCTGACCCCGTTGCGAAATTTTTACAATATTCGACCAAAGGAGGGCAATAAGAATTTGATGAACCAGTCATCAAGCGAATACTGTGAATATTAACCCAAGAAAGAACTATAGAAGCTAATTTAAACCCATGAATTTTTTTTTGCTCCCATTGGTAATTGCTAACTATATAAAAACGCCAAAGAAAAAAATATATAAACAAAAAGTCCAGTCCTTTTTCCACCCGAAAACTATTTATATAACAAGAGACTCACGCAAGCCTATAATCCCTCGCTTGGATACTCCAAAGAGCTCCTACAACCCGTCAAACCTTAGACAATAATTCCATTGCTCGCTGACGTTTCCATGTAATTGGAAGGTAGGCTGAATACAGAGTAATTGGTTGGTTCTGGGGCGAGAACAGCATATCCATCAGGTACGCAGGTAGTAACTGCCATATCAGGAGCCTCGAAATTAAAGCATTCGGAGACGACATTATCGTCAAAACCGAGATCAGACCCATTAGTGCCATCGTCAGAAGGTGGAGGAGAATTAGCCATTCCTCTTTCATGTGTCTTTTTATGTTGAGCTAGATTATCGGACCTTGAAAACCTCTTTCCGCATATCGAGCAAGAGTATGGTCGTTCCATAGTGTGAGTGCGAACATGACGCTTGAGATGCTCTAGCCGCTTAAACAATCGGCCGCAAGTCGGAAGCGGACAGGTGTATGTCTTAACTGGATAAGGTGCGGTGTTGGATCTCATTGGAGGGGAATTTTGGCTTACGTTTACACCAGCGCAGGAACTTGCACGGCGTCTGCGTTGTTTGTACGTTGGGGAACCCTCAAAGATAGAAAACATACCAAAAAGATTAGCTGCAGCGGATGCAGTAGAGTTATTGTTATAGTTTGACGAAGGAACAATTGCTTGTGACACATTTGAAAGCTGAGAGTCAGCTTGGTCATGAGTCGGACGGCATCCTTCGACATATTGTTCATCAATGCTAGAAGGATTCCATCCAGCTGTTACAATGTATTCTGAAGCGGGATTAATCTCGAAAGAGGTCTTCTGAAGCTCGTCCATAGAACAATAACCGAGATCAGGTGATGAAAACAAATGCCCTTTACCGAGAGCATGATCGCACTGAGGTATTGATTGGAATAAGGCGAATGTGCTGAGGGGAGACTGTGTGGATGCTACATTCCCAACCGAGTCCTCACCAAGAGAGTATAGGACATTAACCTGTTCGTCTGACTTTATTTGAGGTCCCATCATAGCTGGAGCTAGTGCCTGAATGGCGGGTTCATATACCAGACTTGGTAGTTGTGGAGATGATGGGGCCGATGACTCGCGCGACATACCCTTTGTAAACTGGTCGTAAAGTGACTGTGTTGAATCAAAAGAGAAAGAGATGGCAGGTTCTGTAACAGCGACAGTCGTTGGTTCGATGCCTATCTTCTCCCTTTTCAGGTCCCGTTCTAATGCGTCCAAGAACAGACGGTCGTGTGGCACAGAAAACCAATAGAAAACTTTCTGTTTCTTCTGGGTGCGTATGCAGTTGTTCTTATATAACATCTCGAGAAACTCCGATTTTGGTTCTTCCAGAGAAGCATCCAGGCCAGGTTTTAAGTTGCGAAGGTCACTGAAAACGCCTTCTTCAAATTTCTTGATATTCTTGACAGGTCGACCGAAGGCTTGAAAGCGGAAGACTAGACTGCGAACGATATCAGTCCCCGTTATGTGAAATAGGCTATTCCATAATACACAAGAAATGTGTTCGCCAGTAGGGAGAAGGTACCGGCGAATATTTGTGTCTGAATCCCAGTTTCCAGGAGCTGTAGCCAGCCAGTATTTGAGTTCGTCTACCTGTTCCATGGGGGTCTTATTAATAGGTGCACTACCGTCAACGGCATTCATTTTTATTTTATTTTGTCTTGTAGAATTGTACGAATGTGAGGTTATAATAGCGAAGGACACTTTTTTTGCTTTATAATTAATGGTATATTTTTATGAGGCCAATATATTGTATCAAACAACTATATTGGTTTATGTGAAGGATAACTAAGGTGCGCGGCTCCTTGGAGATCCTAAGTGAATTGCTTTGCAAGAAGGTTTAAGAGTGAAAGAGGTTCTGTCTATAATATTAATATGGCGTCTAGCAATTGGGGTTCTAGCAATAACCAGAGACGAAAAAAAAATCTGCAACGGGGGCTGGAAGGTTTATTATAGAATCGGGTTCATGAGATTTATCAATTAGGGGGCTTACGTTATTTGTATTTTTCCAATAGGTATGCACAATATTTTTGGTAAACTCATAACTCATTATAGTATTGTTCCACTGTCACAATATATGCGTTATAATAGCTATTTATACGTTATCTTATCTCAATGAGAGGGGGAACGGTTGAACAAGTTGTAAACCTGTCGAAAGCTTTTTGTCATGCTAAAAACTTGGCTGTAGTAATAAATATAAATGATACTGAGGCGTGCATATATGCAGCTTGATAAGAAAGGTAGTAATGGAAAGGTGTAGTAGCTGGTATTGAGGTTTGTAATATTAGAAACTATATATTAACTCAAATCAGCTTTGCGTTTGCGGTGTTACAAATTAACTACTTTAGTAATAATAATACTAATAAGATTAATAATAATCATAAATAACAGAGTATTATACTGATTGATTATACTAATGAATAAAGACAGATGCATATAATATCAACCATGAATAATAACTAATAACAGTACAGACGTAAGCCAACAATGTTTATTCATCTCGAATATTGTTTATTTATATACCGACAATACTATCCATGAAATATTATATTGGTTATTGACAATCCTACTGAAATGTTGCATTCCCAAGTGATTATTTATGTGTTTGTTGTATAAATAATAATCAACATATACACAACATTCGTTATTCATAACCAATGTCATTTGCTTATTTACAAAATGGTGATTCGCGGGTCTTTATTAAGCATTACAATTTCGGTTCGGAAACAAGAGTCGTCAGAATCACAAGAAGGCCAAACTACAAGAAAACCAACAGAGTTGTAAGAAGATGCATTTGACCATCATTTTTCACGCTTCTGTTAATCATCGGATTATACATCCAAATATAAGCAACATTTTTTATATTATAATCGGCCAACGGAGTCTACTCCACATTCCCGTCATCGGGTCCCGCTTTCATAATGCTTCGACAATCATTCCTTATCTCATACTAAATCTAAAAAGAGAAACTCGAATATTCCAATTGTGGCAAGTACGACGGAACCACTATGTACGGAAGTGATGAGTCATTTGTTTGTGGTCTTACAAAATTCCATACTGGAAAAAACCCCCCATTCTCCTGATGATGCAAGTAAATAATAACAACTAACAAAAAAGACATTTCAAAGGTAGCACGGACCTCTCAGTAAGGAGAGAAGGAACAAGCAACGGAGAGCAGAATATTTTATTTAATGCATTGACATTAACAATTATGTTCCCCGATAACCTCCAAACCATGGGAGAATCGCTATGGGGATGAAGCAATAATGGGTGGCTTTTACGACTTTGTTATGTAATGCATTGCACAGCATAAAACTTTGTTTTGCATATTAAAGAAACAAAAGATGTATTAACGAATACAACATCTATTGGCCACAATAACAAAGAGAGCAAGCAAGCGTATAGTGCACGGATCAAAAGGAAGTTATGAATCCAACAGAAGGATGCTCAACATATCTTTTTGCTGTGCATCTGGAATATACTATAATTTCATTGTTTTGGTCATTCATGCCAATGAAGTGCGACATGACTAATTAATTTTGTGATAATTACTTCATTATGTTCTGATTGCTAATGCTGTTTCTTACATCAACAAATGCTCAGATGGTTCGACTGATATGTCAGCCGCATATGTGCCATTCCGACCAGTAAACACTATTCGCCAGCATCCCTGACACGAATTCTGTCAGAAATATCCTCTTACTAAGGTTACATGTAACGTCGTCTCGGACTCTTATTATATATTGATTCTGTCAACAATTCGTTTGCTTATTTATACGCTTCAACCCTGGATAAACACTTTTCCTTGCTTGAGTGAACTGAAAAGCTTCGAATTATAAGGATACAGACCTTCTAGCTTCTGATGCCAGTATCTCATGATGGCTCGCTGTTTATTGGACAAACTTATTGAGAATATGTGGTGTCATGGTTTTCATGCATGTCTTAAATGATCCCTTTTCTTTAAATAATCTATTCGTGTCTTGTAACAGTGCTTACTACAACGTCAGGTCGTGGACCTTTTCCTCTTACTGAGCAGCGAGATAAGGTGTGTGAAATCTTTCAAGATTGGTGCTATTTCTCACGCAATATTCCAATGCGATTGATTCAAATATCTGACGCACTGAGCTTATCGTATGCCACGCGATTCCTTACATTTGAAGATAAACAATCAAATATAGAAAAACTTTAAATTCTCTCGGAAACCAATAATTGCATAGCACGTCCCGAGATTATACTGTTGCCACGTTTAACCTTTTGCGTTTATCTAACAAAAGATCTGGCGTATTATACCAATGAAGTTGAAATACAGGGGTAGACAAAAGTCTGAGAACTTGGGTGTAAAATTTTTGAGACGCGCACTGCAAGTCCGTATTTATAAATCTAAAAATTCGTCTACCCTAACAAAAAGCTGTTTCGTTTTCCCCACAATTATTTCTAAAGTGCGTTAATATTAACCGACGCATAATAAGTTACAATGGAATCGAACTGGAGAATGTCTGATACACACAACAATATCAAGAAATTTGTTCCTACGACTGAATATGGAGACGGGGTAGCAATAATAGTATGGGTTTGTTGTCCCAGGAGAAAGTCTAGTGAAAGATCTGTTACTATATGTAGAATACGTTATGTCACCGCTTGGATAATATTGCAATTGGCCATCCCAACTTACCTGATCTTAATCTCGATGGATAAATTAGAAAGGGTATTCGGTTTACATTTCAGTTTATTGAGTCAATTACTGTAAATCAATAAGAGTTGCTTGTGAAATATTTTGCCATTCCTATTCCATAAAATGGTTTAACTCTCCAGGCTTCCCGTCTCCAAACATTATTTTTTAAAATACTTCAAAGATTTTTAATCGGGTTTAAATCAGGACTGTTAGATGACTAGTCTATCCCTTAATCTGTAGGCCAATTTTTGGCAAATTTGACACTTATTTTTGATATGCATTTTTAAGAACAATTATGTTGTCTGCACTTTAACCATTAATAAAAATGATTTACCTTGTCTTGGAGATTTAATGAGCGAAACTACATGGTAAAAGAATGTGTGGTTGAAGAGTAATGTGCATTTAAACAATTTTTTCTAGGTAGAATTTTAAATTTTTGCAAAATCTGCTTTATTTAGGCTATGATGGGGTATCATATTCTTAGACCATATTTTTTTTCTTTACTTTGTTGTGAGTCTAAAGAGTTAAAGATCTCAGTAAGCAGATGAGCCATTAAGAAGTAATGGCCATTTGAAGACAGGCACTTGTGTCCCTTAAATTCATACTTCCCCTCATACTTCCTCCCCCTGCTTTATTTCTTGAGCTCTTACATTACTTTTAACGCTCTGTTTGTCTTCAGTGCTTTTATTATTGTTCTTCTTGCTCTGGTTATATTCATATTCAGCAATTATGTCTCCTCACTGAAATCTGTTTCTTCATGATGACGACTTATGAACTAAATAATATTACGAGCCTAACATGACTTCAAAGTTGGTACAATAAGACATTTTTTACTAAGAAGTAAAGAGATATAAAGATATAAAAGGACTAAATAATAATATAATATAAATTAATATCTCTTATATCTTAATATTAATTATCTATATGTTAATTCAGATTATAAAGATAAATATCTACAACAGATAATTAACTAACGGCTTACAACGTTAACGTATGGGAATATAACGTTCATTAGCACCATCGGCGATTGATCGATATTAGGGCAAGAGATCTGCTGCGATTCTAAGGTTCTAGCGAACTATATGTGTTGGGGTATTTATCTAGTGGCATCAAGTGATATAAAGCGATTTTTGTTGGCGAATTGGGGGCAAATTTGCCTCCAATACAGTTTAAGGGATAATTTTCAGAATAGCTTTCTAACGTTGTACTGTTTAGCAGAAGCGGCAATTTTTTGCTAATTGGAAAAAGTGTTATCACAAAAGACAAAGTTAAGCGTGATTGTTGATTATTATTTTTTTAACGACGTGAATTGGAAAGTTCAACACACTTACCAAACGAAAAAATATCTGTTGTGTCTAAGTTGAGGACCTGTCTCAGTTCGGAACCCAGTCACTCAGTCCAGAACTCAGTCGTCTCAGTCCAGAACTGAGACAGGTCCGAGGTACAACAAATGGGATTGTTGGGTTGAATGCCAGAACATAATGTTTTGAAATTCATACTGCTCTTGCGCATCACCAACACTCTTATTCATGTATCAGTGTTATTTTTTAGTAAATAAATATACAATTGTTCGGATCTCTATAATTAACGAGTCAAAGCACAATGATAGAGTATACTTATGTCATGCCAGTTAATGCTGAAACGTATGATTATAATTAGTTATCTTGAATACTCATCGACCAAACTAACTCGATTAAACATTATAGTCAATTGTATCCCGGGTACAAAGCAAGCTTCTCGAGGTGTTCTATATACACATACAAACTCGGTAAGTCGAGTTTTGGCTATCTTGGGCCAAAAATTGAATAATCGAGAGATCGGCTTATCGAGTTTGCATCATGCTAAACTACGTGGGGGAGCTGAAAAGTTTTGCGTGTGGCTCTCTAACTCAATTTAACTAAAAGTTGGAATACCGTATACTACCGTGAATAAGCACCACCCTCATCATAGTGAGGGGTGCTTATTCACGATA